AAAAGTAGGTCAAAATAAAAATTCGCCAAATTTAACGTATGAGTTATGAATTAGGGGTAGAATTTTGTCAGGAATCCAAATCTTTAGATCAAATTTCGTTCCGACTTCCGGTTCGGAAGTTATGGCGTTTTGAAATTTCGGAAAATCGATCTGATGGTATCCTGGTAGAAAGTCAAGAGTAGAGAAGAAAATATTGAAAAATTCATCCATCCTTCCTATCTGAACCTATCCTATCCTATCCTTCCTTCGTATCCTTTCCTTCCTATCCTCTCCTATCATATCCTTTCTTCCTATTCTGTTCTATCATATCCTTCTTTCTTATTCTATCCTATCGTTCCTTCCCATTCTATCCTATCCTACCTTCCTGTTTTATCCATCCATCTTATTCTGGATGACTCAGCTTATTCTGGATGACTCGGCTTATTTTAGATGACTGGGCTTAAAAAAGTCTGGATCTGGAGTCTGAAATTGAACTTCGTTCAATTTCCCAAGTCTAGTTATAATAGTTATTGTCCTAATCGAAGTATAATCGTCAAACTATAGAGAAATGCAATTATCTTCAAATATTCAATTTCGTGCTTCATATACCTTAACTATACACATATAATATTACTAATACATTTATATTTTGTTGCAGAGTGGCCCGTATATATATTTTGCTAAGCAACACTTATGTTAAGTTTAAACATGACATGACATGTAAATGACATTGATATTTAGAACATTTTGTTTAGATTTGATTGAAAATAAATAACGATTCCAGAAATATTCGCAATATGTTCTGAGGTACCAACGGTAACCGGACAACTCATCCCCTAGACAACTCATCCCTGGGCAACTCATCCCCTAGACAACTCATCCCCTGGACAACTCATCCCCTGGACATCTCATCCCCTAGACAACTCATCCCCTGGACAACTTATCCCCTAGACAACTCATCCCCTAGACAACTCATCCTTTGGCATGTTTGAGTAATTTAATGTAATATTATTAATTCATATATTATTCAAATGATTAACACGATCCTCGATTTAATACCTCACTTTTGCTACGTAAACAGAACTTCAAAAATAGTTAAGATCTGCACTTCTAACTCTTTCCATTTACATAACAATAGTAAGATATTAAAGCGACGATTCTGTTGTCTTCTGACTGACAAGTGAACAAAGACTTTCTTGAGGGGAAATCTGGAAGATTGTTTAAAAAACTATGATATACCATGGTACTACTATGGTATTGTCGAGGATATCATCAACCAATTAATCTGTGATTTGTTGTGTAAATATTTACCTTTCATTTTACGTTAAATATACAATTTCAATAAATGTTAACATTGATTGAAGAAGCTCCTTTGATGTCATTATATGTGTGTTCAGAGTTCAAATATTCTTTAATCCAAAGATAATTTTTTTCATAGCAGTCACAGATGAAGTTACTGAAGTTCATGTTTCAGAATTATGCAGAGAGAAAACTTTATTTTTTGTCATGAAATATTAAGTCATGTAATATTAAGACAAAATATGAAAGTTTTAGTGGCACCCTTTGACCATTTTATTTGTGTCAATAGAGTGAAAAATAATATTTAGAATGATTCAAGGTGTATTTAATAAATATTTATTTTCCAAAAATACTTAACAATTTGGCTTCATGTGATAAAGGATGAGTTGTCTAGGGGATAAGTTGTCTTGGGGATGAGTTGTACAGGGTATGACTTGTCTAGGGGATGATGTGTTCAGGGGATGAGTTGTCCAGGGGATGAAATGTCTAGGGGATGAGTTGTCTAGGGGATGAGTTGTCCAGGGATGAGTTGTCTAGGGGATGAGTTGTCCGTAAGCCGGTTGTGAAGGTAGCAACCAATGCAGATATAAACGATATTCTTACGTTTGAATTCAATTCTCTTGTGGTTGGATGCAATGGATCAATGGCAAACCAAACAGCAATTATAACTACATCAACAACAACGAGCAAAAAGAACATGAAAATCAACCATCCTTCTTTAACGGACTCCTGAAATAGATCAAGGTCTCTGCATCAATTGTACTTTTACTTGCACATTAATCATTGCGTATATAAAATATTTATATTTGTTATATCATTATTATTTTCATTCATTTTAAAAATGAAGATTGCAAATCTCCTTACCTGTTTCTTACCATTTATATATAAAATGACTGAATTATTAAAATTGCATATAAAAAGTAGAAAATAGTCTTTGATTATAATTCTATCGATTAATTTTTCAGCACTTTGGTTACCTTTCGTTGCTGGCTAAATAACCTGTATACACCCCATAATTTTACAGTCATTCCTCCATAGAAAAACGTGAATCCGAAGATAAGAAGTCCGGAAGAAGCCTTCAATAAGAACATCTACATATTTTTCATACATACTTCAATATTTTATTACATAATTAAATTACCTGATATGGCTAGTGGTAGCTCAGTACTAGTGGTAGAGCACTTGCCCGGAGAGCGAGGAGTCGTGGGTTCAATCCCCACTGGGGTGGACTGACTTTTTCACATCAGCCCTTAGCACAGGATTTCATTCTGTGTTTTCATTATATTAATTTGTTATGCCTGTCTTAATATCAACTTTTGGAAAACTTCTAGGCATTGAAGTACATATCATAATTGTGGGTGCAAACAGACAATTTTGTCAACGAGGGGAACTAAGGCGTCCGTAAAAGCTGATGTCATAGTCAAAAGTACATGTATAGCCAACCATGACGTATGTTTTTGTGAATTGTAGCAAAAATGAAGATTCTATAAATTAGTGATGAAGTTACAATTGTATCTGTAACTATTTAAATTGCGTTTAATTCGTTTTTGATTTATATTAAGCATGATTTAACCGATGTTGATGGTATTGTTGATTTGTACAATAAAATAATTCCCGAATAAGTTGAGGTGTAGCCAGACTATATTGTTATCTGTAAATAAGAATAAGGTCAGGAATGTATATTAATTTTTCGCAATGATTGGCGACTCTTGTTTTTATTGTTTATTCTTTTGTGTGTCTTCTTGTATTATTCAAATGGCCACACAGCAACCATAGTCATTATGGAATTATCTTTATTAGCAGCTAATTAATGGCTGCTAATAATAATCCGGACAATGTGATAATAAAACAAAAATACAATGAAATATGTTGGACGTTAAAGCATAAAATTCACGGTTTGATTGCTGTTTTATAAAGATTATAATTTCAATGGTCAATGATAGAACGACCATACTATTTAAGAAATTATTTCGTACCAGGCTTATATTTCCAAGTAAAGGTTCTGGTTGTACACCAGTCTGTAGGTCAGCTATGTGAACCAATACATAGACGTCAAGTAGAATACAACCAATAATTATCACACAGGTCATAATTGGCCATTCATCTTTTATCAACTATTTGCTAAATTATTACATATTTTACGAACCATGCATATATCTTTAAGTAAAGGTTCTGATTGTACACCAGTCTGTAGGTCAGCTATGTGAACCAATACATAGACGTCAAGTAGAATACAACCAATAATTATTACATATTTTACGTACCATGCATATATCTTTAAGTGAAGGTTCTGATTGTACACCAGTCTGTAGGTCAGCTATGTGAACCAATACATAGACGTCAAGTAGAATACAACCAATAATTATTACATATTTTACGTACCATGCATATATCTTTAAGTAAAGGCTCTGGTTGTACACCAGTCTGTAGGTCAGCTATGTGAACCAATACATAGGCGTCAAGTAGAATACAACCAATAATTATTATACAGGTCATCGGCCATTCGTCTTTTATCATTCTGCAATAATTTAATCCGGAAGGTGATGTACAGACTATAAATGCATATTGCTAATATTTAGTTTTGTGATCACGCTTCTAACAAATCCGAACAAAATAAAAGCAATTGATACGACTGTTGAATGAATACAATAATTACACGTTCAAGCCAGTAAATACAGTACGATTCTAGAAGTCTTACTAATACGGATATAATGATTATACTTACACGTGTCTGTTGTGTAGAGCCGCATACACGATGTATACAAACGCTAGTAGTATTCCTACGCCAGTAAATACAGAGAGTACGATTATAGAAGTCTTACTAATACGGCTATAATGATCATACTTACACGTGTCTGTTGTGTAGAGCCGCATACACGATGTATACAAAACCTAGTAGTATTCCTACGCCAGCAAATACAGAGAGTACGATTATAGAAGTCTTACTAATACGTCTACGGACAACGTGTTCTATTTCAGAGTCGAGTGGTAATATTCCACCTAAAAATTAGAAAATCATATTTAGAAATGGGGAAAATTCCCCCTTTTCTCAAAAACCTATCCCTGAAGAATTATTGCACATATTTAAATTAATAACATGTCTTAACGAGAAAAATACACAATACATTGAAACATGCAGCAATTACTTTTAAAGTAATAAAGTAAAATCAAATTAATAAATCCTAATTTTTCTGAATCAGATGATATCGAAAATGAATATTTATCCGATGGATACTAAATAAATATGGGGATAACAACACAAGATACTTTTGGTATGCGCCACTAAAATTGTATCCAATCCATATAACGTGATATCCAATCGTATCCGACGGATACAATTTAAAATTTAGAAGTTGTAACGAAAAAAATTGATAAAATAAATTGAAAAAAAAACTTTGGAAAAAGTGAAAAAAATTGATAAAAATTGAAAATGTTTGACAATATAGTTCCGATGTTATGTGCTCTTATGATTTTCTCGGCTATCATTTTTATCCACTCTTGGATATCGACGATCTCCATTCATATGCTGTGCCAACTCGTGGAGATGGGCGATATCCACTCGTGGATAAAAGTGGTATTCCTCAAAAACCATAGGATATCTTCTATATCTCCAACGATTCGACAATGTTTTAAGTCTCAGTTTATATGATTGTTGACACATTGACAATTCTCCCCGGGTAATTCTGCCTATCAAAGATTCACGTTTGGAAAGTTGGCTTGGTGCTTATGGTGCACAACCTGAACAATAATTGAGAATGCTAAAAAATACATATTGAATCACAATAAGTCCTTCAGTACACGTGTACCTTTTGACTTCCATATGATGGCAGGGGGCTGTGTCATAATCAGACTGTTCCCTTTCTTATCAAAATAACCAATTTTGGACAAGTTCCTTTTTGCTGAAAGTATTAGCATACATTGTAGCAAGGCGTTGTAAGTTTTGACAATATTTTGAAAATATCGAGCAGACAAGGTACAAATAGAAAGGAAAACACAAGCTGACTTATACATTTCATATATATCTCGTGATTTGAAAGAATATACAACTAACATATCACAGATATATTTGACTTACAGTCCCAAATTCCAACGTAACTGTCAGTCTGTTTTGCTCCAGTTGATTTATTATAAAAGTAATGGCCCTAAAATGATCAATTTATTCTACATTGGTTTCATGTCACAATGGTTGCTATAAATTAAGTTGACCTTATTTATATTCATATTTATATTGTATTTGTCTTACCTTACTGCCCTTCTATAATACATTTGGACGATTGGAGGGATATATATTAAGTTTGTGTAATACATGTACATCTAGATTCTACCTTGCAACTAAAGTGGTTTCCCACCCTTCGTTACCCGTTTTGTTTTTTCGACAATGGTCGCAATTAAAGAACTTTAAGGTATGATTTGTATATGGCGGAATTTTATGAAATGAAACATTTTTATAATCGTGTAGGGAATATATCTTAATCTTACCGATACTCCTTCAAAATCTACATCCAGAAGACGTTTGTAAAGTGAATCAAGTAATGGTTTGTTCTTGTTAGCACTGTGCTTATAATTCTTGACTTCGTCCACGGTATAATTCTTCAGAGTTGCATTAATCGCCAATGCTATTGCCCAAATGTTATCATAAAACAAATGCTGAAAACGGATCGTTGTAGGCAAGGACATTGGCTTAAGAAGATGTTCCAACTCTGCATATGTCTACAAAATGTGTACTGTGTATATGTCAAACTGTTTAGTACCAATAACAAAAAAATAACATAAAAATCGGTTCAATATGACAGGTCTCATATCAGGATGTATGCTAATTAGCTCATATTGAATGGAATAACACCAAGACATCAAAATCGTTAGGAAGTAATTTTGAAGAATGCCAGTTGGCGCCGGCAGAAAACTGTTTTTTTAATATCAGAGAGGTATATAATTTGATGAGAATAGTAGATACTTTACTGTGTTCTTTGCAAAATGTCTGTGATTGCTATACAAGCCAAGAATTGTCGAAACAGCTTCAGAGCAAGCAATGGTTCCCTCGAGAACTTTCGATACTTCAGTTGCACTGCATCCGTAACTAGACGCACCTATGGTTTCAAGAGCTGTTCCAGAAAAATAGGCCAATAACACGTGATGTCGTCCATAAAGTCCAAGCCTATATAGCTTAATACGATAAGTTGTACATTGTACTTAACTTTTAAAAATCCAATTTTTAGTTTGAATACAATGCTAATATTGAAAATATTGTTTTATCACCCATCATGACTTAAAGGCCCCATGTAAAGTTTTAACATATAGTGGAATCATTCATTTTGAAAAATATTACTTTATGTCATTTTATGCATATATGAACCTTATCCGGGTTGAGAATCCATTTTGTATTATGTTTTAAATAGTCGTGTGCCATTGGATTAATAAAAACTAAAATAAAATAATGCATTTTTCTCTTGACCACTTTTTGCGCTTATGAGTTAATTTCTTTTTTATTTCTCTATCATTTTCTCAATTTTTTAGTATATAAACCAAAATGGTTAAACTTTATATGTGACCTTTAAAACATTGTTTCCGACATGATTGATTCAAAGTGCTTTTGTTTCGTTTATAACATTTGTGTCAATCGTTTACCATGATTATGTTGATTTATGCATTTATGTAATAGATAAGAACATGTATTTTACTTTAAAACAGCATTATTTTATGACATGAATTTCATCAATTAGTCATACCTTGCACAACACCTTCGCAAGGTCCCAAGAGCGAAGTACAAACGAGACCAGTATCCGAATGCCCTAAAATACAAACATATATCAAGGTTTGTTTTCGTAAAATATAAAGGATTGTGTGACTGTTTTATTTTCGAAAAACGATAATTTTTTTCTAATTTTTTGGATATTAGTGTCTGATCTTTGAGAAATTAACAACAAGTCTGGTTATTTTTCTGGACCCCAATCCCCAATTCTCATAACGATGTTTTCATTTTTTGCTTGTATCGAAATAAATAATGATAGGCCATTCAATATATATGCTAAAATTCTACACTCGTTCGACAGAATGTCAGAACAAATGCACTCACATTCGGTTCGTGCTTTGAACATAATTCTGTCCAATTCGTGCTGAATTTCAACATATTGAATGGCCTATTATAAGTTATTCCTTAAAGGAATTCTAGGCGACGGAAATGACCAGGAAATCATGTCTATAGCAAGAAAAGCGATATTTTAAACCATTTTATCCTCTATAAATTGCAATATCCCTTCAGATACAGGGTGACGCAAAAAGTTTCACCCAACTCAAGTTGAATAACTTTTTTTGTGTATTTCATTACTGACTTCTTCTTTTGCACATTCAAACTAGACTTCATGGAGCAACTTTACAAGAAGTTCCATGTGACAAGATCAATTATGTGGACTTTTATGATGGTTACAAGATGTGATCTAAATGTCGTTCATTCCATTGCAGGCACACTTCTGGATTCTACTGGTACATGTATGCTGACATTTAGGGAAAATCTTATAACGCTCAAGAAAGAGTATCAAGTTGGGCCAGTCATCTGGAACTTCTTGCGGAGTTGCTCCATAAAGTTTAATTTTACTTTGCAAAAAAGAAAGCCAGGAATCATATAGACGAAAAAGTTGGAAAGAATGCAGGATTGACTCTCCCATATAAAGCATTATCAGTAAACTTCACAAACAAACAAATATCACAAACAACACATATGTTTTTTCCCACAATATACCAATATATAAGTCGTTCTAACAGAGCTATGATATTGAATGTATGGATTTGCTTGACCTTGTAAGACGTTAAATTTTTTCATTTTACCTTTAATGGTTCCCAAATAACATCAGGCGAAATTTTATCCAACAGGATGTCAGCATAAAGTGTTATGTTTCGTTCTGCTAGTTTCTCCTTAAACACAGCAGCAGCCTTGTAAAAATAAATTTTGATATAAGATTGAGGTAGAATATGCACTCAGGAATATACGTGGAGGTCGGGATTAGTTTGCATTCGACACAAACGTTAGAGATTTGAATAGTGTAAGCTTGGCGTCTATCTTCAGTATATAGTTCTATGTTCCGTTCTGGTGGCTTCTCTTTAAACGCACATGCAATAATGAACATATGCTGTGATCGGAACGGTATCACTGGTCAGAGACCCTTGTCCAATTGAATCAAATCACGATGGCCCATAAGGCCATATTATTACCATGTTATATTTATTTAAATCGTTATATCTCTATTCAATTCAATTTATTTATTTCATAATTCTTATATAATATACACTATAAAACAAGCCGCTAGACACCCTAGTGGGTATATGTTGCGGTTTAACAGAAATCATTAAAATGACATCTAGACTACATATAAAAGAAAACACTTATATTATGTAACATGTAGGTATATAAAAATAGTATTAACAATTAATCTAAGGATGTACAATGTAAAAATGTTACAAAAATCAGGTACCAGTATAAAATCAACAATATAGTATGATATTGGTATTATACATTATCGATAGATGAGTAGGTTTTTATATGAATAGTTGAAAATATTTAGAGTGGAGCATTTCTTAATATCATGTGGTAGAGCATTCCAAAGATTAGGACCTAGATAGCGAAGGGAAAGTTTAGAGCATTTAGGGATATGAAAATAATGCAATTGTCTTGTGTAATGATGATGAATATTAATGTTGATATCAAACAAGTCTTGAAATAGATTTTTTGGAAGACTGGGGTGCTTATTAAAGATTTTGTACATGAACTGACCAGTACAATATTTATTTATTTATTTATTTCATGATAATATAACAATGGAATGTACAAAGCATGTGCACTCGACACCCTTAGTAATTGGGCGTATCAGTGCATATATCAAAAATTATTGCAGAGCAATCACAAAACATATAATATATAACAGTATAACATACATTATCTAAATTGTTTAGATGCAATACAGAAACTTTGAAGTCTGGATATAAATAATTAATTTAAATGGAATGTGATCTTATATAGTATTTCCATTCATCTTTTCCAAAAGGTCCTTTTTAATGTTGTGTTTAAAAGAATTCAAAGTTTTACATGTTCGAAATACAATTGGCAAAGAATTCCATAAAATAGCACCAGAATATGTCACTGATCTTTTTGTCAATTCAGTTTTTATTTTGCTGGGGCGTATATTATGAAACTGTCTTGTAGTACGATTACCAACATTATGATTGTGCATGTATGTAAAGTAGTTTTTGAAAAGATAAGCAGGAAAATTTGATGGTTCCTTGACACAATTATACATAAATTTTGATTTCTCTAACCTGTGAATGTCAAAAATTGTTAAGATTTTCATTTCCCTAAATAATGGTACACTAGATTGTTGATAATCTGCATTACAAATCAGTCTTACAACTTTTTTCTGAAGATTAAGTAATGGTGTAAGTAATGAGTTGTTGGCATTACCCCATATGATGTTGCAATACGAAATATGTGAATAAACAAGTGAATAGTAAATGTCTAACAATGCATGTCTTGATAATTTATTTCTTACTTTGAAAGGAATGCCTATTATTTTTGAAATTTTTGAAACAATATATTCAGTATGCCTATTCCATTTCAGATTTGCATCAATGATTACACCAAGAACATATATATAGTTAACTCTTTCAATCTGGTTATCACCAATATATACCTTGTAGTGATGGCTATTTATATTATTAAGTCTTGATTTAGTAAATAACATATATTTAGTTTTCTCTATATTGAGTGAAAGCTTGTTGTTTTTAGCCAGTTGATTATACATTTTATTTCAGTGTTTGCCCTCAAGTAAAGATTATCTAAGTTGTCATCTTCTAGAGAAATATTTGTGTCATCTGCAAAAATAACTAATTTTATCATATTGGTAACATTAAATATATCATTTATATACAATGTGAAGAGGACTGGTCCCAAAACAGATCCTTGGGGGACGCCACAATGTAAATAATGCTCTTCATCAGAGTATGAACCTGATATGAAAGTTTTTAATGGTCGATCGTTTAAGTAACTTTTGAACCAATTTAACACTACTCCACGAAAACCTAACAGTTCAAGTTTATTTAATAATATTGTATGGTCAATCATATCAAACGCTTTTGATAGGTCTAAATACAATCCTAGAATATGCTTATTATCATCCATTGAAAACCGAATTTGTTCCAGAAAAGTTAAAAGAGCCATGTATGTTGAGTTGTTTTCTTTGAATCCAAATTGTTTTTCATTCATTAACTTATTATTTTTGATAAATTTAGAAATTCTTGAGTGCATTACTTTTTCAAGAAGTTTGGAAAATACACTTAATAAGGAAATTGGTCTATAATTTTCAAATTTTGATTTATCACCCTTTTTGAAAAGTGCTATTAATTTGGTTATTTTCATCTTTTCTGGAAATACACCTGTTTGTAAGGAAAGGTTTACTATATGAGTAAATGGTATCACAAGGTTGTACCTTGCATGTTTAATAACTATTGGTTTTATATCATCAAATCCTGGAGCTTTATCATTGAGTCTTTTCATAAGTGTTAAGATTTCATCTTCAATTACAGGTTCTAAAAATAAAGAAAAGGGGTTTCTTGTTATATGCTCAAGTGGTGATCCAGTTGAAGTTATTGTAGATGCTAGTTTTGGTCCCACATCAGAGAAATAGGAAGTAAATTTATTAGCAATAATTCTTTTATCTTTGGTAGGTTTGTTGTTTATATTCATGATGTAATATGTAATATCTGTTGACATCAAAAATATTTAATATTTTAAGATCTTTAAATAGGGGAGCAGAGTGAGAAAGTCTATCCTTATTTAAAGCTAGCCTTAAGAATTGTTTCTACAGTTTATGTAACCGATCATAAAATGATTTAAATGTGTTACCCCAGATTATGTTGCAATGATTTAATTGAGAGTGTATCGATGAATGGTAAATTGTTTTGAAACTGTCTATTTGAAGTAGATGTTTAATGTGATAAAGAGAACCAATGACGCGAGAAATCTTTGTTTCAACAGATTTTATGTGCTCTTTAAATTTTAAGTTTTTATCAATAATAATTCCAAGAAAGTCAATTTTCCCGGAAGTTCTCATTGCGTATTTTAAGATTCAGATTTGTTTGATTTTTTTGGGTCCAAATAGAATAGCATTGGTTTTGCCAATATTAAGTGAAAGTTTGTTTGCTTTTATCCAGTCATCTATTAAATTCAAGTTTGCATTAGTTCTAGTCATTAGTTCATTTAAATCATAACCACTATCAAGGAGATTGGTGTCATCAGCAAACATAATAAATTTTAGATTAGGGGCAACAAAAGGCAGATCATTTATGTAAAGAATAAATAATAGTTGTCCAAGTACCGAGCCCTGCGGAACACCACAATTTAGAGATGTTTGTTTAGATTCATAATTGTTAATGGTGACATATTGTTTGCGTTCTTTTAAATAACTTTCAAACCAGGACTTAGGTATTCCTCTGATGCCATAATATTCAAGTTTTTGTATCAAAATGTCATGATTAATTGTGTCAAAGGCCTTGGAAAAATCTAATATTATGCCAATGCTCGTTTTCCTCAAATCAGTTGATTTTCGAATTTGTTCAATGAAATATAAAATGGCCATGTAGGTAGAGTTGAATTTCTGAAATCCAAATTGATAAGTAAAAATAATTTCAAAACGTTCTAAAAAAACAGTGAGTTTGGCGTACATGAGGTTTTCTAACAATTTAGAAAATACGGATAAAACTGAAATTGGTCTATAGTTCGAAGGATTTGTAGTGACACCTTTTTTAAATACAGGTGTTACTTTGGCCAATTTGAGGGCGTCTGGGAAAATACCAGATTTAAAAGATAAGTTAAATATATACAAGAGTGGATCAATTAAAAACTGTCTTGCAGACTTAGTAAGTGATGGTAGAATCCCATCTGGTCCAGGCGAGGAAGATTTTAGAAGACACATTTTTAATTCAAGCTCAGTTTTGAGGTCTTTTTGAGATAAATAGATGATTGAACTTTTTGAGCTCTTTCTCATTTCGTATTTAACTTGCAGCCAGCCTTACCGTTGCCATTACGTTATTATTGGATGTTATAAGTCCTATTTTGTTCCACTTAAAATGTTGTAGGATGGCATCGAAAACATTAGAAACGTCTGCGCTTCCAGGAACTAACTTTGTGTAGTAATCATACTTTTCGGCGTTATATTCTGATTCCATAGAAACGTGATTCTGGAAAGGTATAAACCAACTGTATAATATAATACATGTTGTATGTCGCATGGTTTTGAAAAGATAGAAATAAACGGTATTCTTATGTAATACACAATGTATTTTGCATGATTCTGGAATAATAGTTACGAAAAGCGATTCTGTAAGAACATCGCACATTTTGGTCTTCAATATGGCGTCCAAATTATTCCCGGATGTCCAAACATTTCAGAAACACATAAGCACTCGAATTATCTTGATTGGACATCATGGTTCAGAGAAATCGCAATTTTACTGAATGTCTTCACGGAATTATTACGGGTCATTTACATGTTTAAAACGTGCAATACATACCACTATGCATCCCCACATACCACAAATTGGTACTGCTGCCTCTTGTCCCATGAAAGGCATCATTATAAACGGTGTATCACGACCTCGGTATATATATTCCCACAACTTGCTGTTTATAGACGCAATGGATTTGTTCTAAATCACAAAATTGTACACTCATTCTTATTTATTTCGAATATCCCTACTCACTTTCCATATTTGAAAATTGATTTATTTGTATACAGGGTGGGCGAAAAAATGCCACTTTCTTCAAGACACTATAATTTTCATTTTGCAACCTACATGTACATACACCAAATTTTGCAATTATGTAGTGCTAAGG